TAGATGTATGTATGTATGTATGTATATATATATATATATATATTAGACTATATTGGGCTAGATATCTCCAATATCATAACCCTGTAGAGTATAAATATACTGCTAGTAGAAAGGGTTACTCCCTGCAGATTACGACATACAATATCGCAGAATTACATGTATACCAATACATCGACTCATCCAAAAAACCAAGTACCATACACATACATACATGAATTTACAATGAACCAAGTGTATATGATTTGAAGTTTTAAAAGTCACCGTATGCCCCCCACCCCCCTTGACAACCCTTATCTGTATGTTGTCCTTTTTTTTTTCGGACAGGGCCGGATGAAATGGCGGGTTCTGTGGCGTTGTTTCGATCATGGAATGTCGTCGAACTCTACAGAGACTACGTGAAAAAGGTAACCACCCACCGCACAAGCAGTCGCACCCATGCTGTTACTATTGTACTAGAGTATTGACTAGGTAGAGATAGGATGTGTGTGATAGGTAGAGATAGGGTGTATGAGTTACGTAGAGATGGGGTATGTGTAATAGGTAGAGATAGGGTGTGTGTGATAGGTAGAGATAGAGTGTGTGTGATAGGTAGAGATAGGGTGTGTGTGATTCGTAGAGATAGGGTGTGTATGTGATACGTAGAGATGAGGGTGTGCCTGATATATCGCTGGTATTGTATATCTCATGTTTCTACTATTTTTCTTCAGAGTATTGTTTCGGTAGAGGCGATTGTGTGTCTGGCAGCCCTCTAGTATTGTGTCTATGTTTACGTTTTCATGCGCCTGGCCTTCAGGCAGAGTTGAGTACTGAGTGTGTGAACGCCGTTGAGAAGTGACCTCCACTTCACCGAAGAATCTCAGATGTAAATACAATGCGTTTGGTCTATCCGAAGTAACGACGGAAGAATCGGGTCCTTTTCCTAGGGCAAATGTGGGCGCCAAATGTGGACGCCAAAATGAAATTTGAATCGGCTTAATTTGCGCCAAGAAAGTGGTGCGTGCACGTGTATCTACAGAGACTGCACCTACTTCTAGAGTGCGCGGGAGGAACGTATCTCCGCTACCAAGCCACATACTTACTGATGGGCCGATCACTATGTTGGTGTATATTGTGGTTATGCAAATACACCTTACACGCACCAAGTACCATTCGACTGTAGCTCGGTACAACAAATTTACTGTGGTCGCACTGACCTTGCACAAGCAGATTAAAACCGGACCCGATTTTCGTCAGAAAGCCGAATTGGAGGGCTGTTTCCTCAGAGATGTCATGGACCGATTGGGGAATGCAGGTGCACTTGCCTCGCAGGATTCAGACTCTCAGGACATTCTGACCATGCTGTACCACATGACGTATGTACACGGCATGGTCGAAGTCGAGCTGTACTGGCCTGCTAACCAAGGTGTGTACAACGGCAAGCATATCATGCTTTACCCTGATTTTTATATGTATATGTATATGTATATATATATATGTATATGTATATGTATATGTTCATGTATATGTATATGTATATGTATATATATGTGTGTGTGTGTGTGTGTGCGTGTGTGTGTGTATATATATATATATATATATATGTGTGTGTGTGTGTGTGTGTGTGTATATATTATTATATATGTGTGTGTGTGTGTGTGT